AAGAAGAGCCGCATACGATCTCACCATGAAGCGTTTGGGGTACAGGAAATCTCGAAATGGGTGCTTGAGATGCAAGGAGAGAAGAGTCAAAGTAGGTCGATGCAACCTCCCAAATTCCCCTGAAGCCCCTGGTGCCACTTGGGAGCCGACACTCGATGTTGAGATGTGAGACTAATGCGCGATCCTCCTGACGTAGTGTGACGAAAACAGGCCATGCAGTGCTTGTGTGCGCCACGGGCTGCCTTGCAGTCTACTAGAAAACGCGGGAGCGTCAACAAGCGGCTCGTCCCAGGTATCGGCACAAGCGCCGGCGGCAGGGCATCGGGCGAGGCGATCGGGATCACGGGTAAGTTCTGTTTCCCCAAGAATCGAAACTCTTTGGTGTTGAGGTATCTCGTTCTCGGATCTAACGCGGCGGGGGTGGATAGGGGTCGGCAACGGTTAGGCGGAGGCCAAGCGCGCAGTCGCCCGCGTCTCTTTCGCCACAGTCCGCAGCCGGATCACTCGGTGGCCACCATGGCGCGTCGAGTCCAGGAGGGCAAACTTCTCCGTCTTCGCAGTCGGATCCGTTCCCTTACTTTTCGCGGTTTCTGACCGACTTGAACAAGACGGAGACGGCCAGCGGCTGGATCTCAGATCTTGAGCTTATGCACCATTACACTTCGGTGTCGTATCGAACCTTCTCACACTCCTCCCAGGCGCAGAAGACGCTCCAGTATGATGTGCCAAGAGAGGCGCTCTCTTACCCCTTTCTACTTCACCAACTCCTTGCCTTCTCAGCCTACCATCTGGCATACCTCCAACCAGATTGCCGCCATGCCTACCTTATGCAGGCTGCCCAGCACCAGAATGACGCCATCAACGGCATGAGAGGAACTCTGCTCGGCACAATCTCCTCTACAAACTGCCATGCCCTCTTCGCGTCTTCCATCTTCCTGACGCTAAGCGCCTTTGCCACCTACCCCAGCTATGAGAAGTACAACCCAACCTTCTCACCCATCGACAGCATGCTGGACATCTTCACCCTGACAGACGGCATGAGTGTAATTCTGCGCGCTTCAGACGACGATCTGCGCAAGGGTCCGCTGCGCGAAATCTTCATCCGCGGCCCCGGCGAGCCTCAGACGCCGGAACCGTCGCTTCAGCCCCTCTTTGAGCGGCTGCCCCGGCTCAGCACCCGGCTAGCCGAGATCGGTGCCATGGAGACCTCTACAGAGGGCAAGTACACCATCAATAACGCAGTAATAGCATTGAGCGAAGCTATTGCCAAGGTTTCCACCATGAACGCCATGTCTGCCCCAGTTGAGTTCCGCGCGGTGTTCCTGTGGCCGGTACTCATGTCCAGCGACTACCTGGATATGTTGCGCCGCCGGCATCCCGCAGCACTAGTCGTCTTGGCTCACTATTGCGTCATTATCAATATGGCAGAACCGTTCTGTTGGTTCCTCAACGGCTGGGCCCGGGCTCTGCTGTCCATCATCTCTGAACAGCTTATGGGAACGGCCTGGGCGGAGCTCATCATGTGGCCCATAGAGGTCATCGGAGTGGGGAGCTACGAGTTGCAGATAGAACACATGGCGCACGCCATGCCTGTCGTACTCTAAGTTTTGCTATTTCTTTTGCAGTTCGTCTCTTCACGATATTTGGCGACAGTTCACGGTTTCACAGCGAGGCGGAGCGGTTCGCAGCTGGATTTGGATGCCCATTACAGAAATCAGATTTACAGCGTCTTCAAGTTTGGACGGAAAAGGGCGTCACTGGGTTCAGCGCAGCGATACACACGATAAAGGTTGCCAGGCTGGGACGGGCAAGACGGAGTTTGTGTGAGGCCTTCCACGGCCCCGGAATTTGGAGTACGGCTCTTCGGAACTTGGCAAACCTTGAAAGGCACACAGTAACGCTGTAAGGTTTATGAAATGTCAACTCTGTCACTATTCTATAGGAAGAATACTTGTAGAAACTTTCATCCCATCCCATGGATCCAACGGGCCGTCTGTTCCGAGCAATTGGCTCAGCCTTGTGCATTGCTGTCTGCCTTGTGTAAGTCAACACGCGAGAACGATCGCAATATCGCGGGTGCTAATGGTTGTTGTATTGCAGGGTGGGAGGTCATACTGCCCTTGCGTAATGTGGAGCTAGAATGTTACTCTACGAAAACGAATATCCTGCGTGAACGCTAAGAAGCATGAATGCGTATTTTGCCATCCACAATTTCCACTCGAGGACGTTCTTGCCAAATATTCCTACCAGCAAAATTTTCCAAGTTGGCCTGAGAACTGACAGCAAAAATGCCAGAGGAAAGGTGCAGTGATTTATGATCCCCAGAAAAGTATTGACGCAAGCTGATATGGTGTTTGACAGCCGGAATGGAAGTTCTTTGCGCGATCAAGTTGGTGTTAGGGTCAGCCTTTAGTACAAAGACCTCGCTCTTAACACCCGATGCTCCTCCTTGGCCAACGATGCCTCCAACACTATTGAACTTCATCGGGAGGTCCACGATACCGCTCGCACCGGCCGTCGAAAGAACAAGGGCGTTGTCAGTTTGTTGGGTGAAGCCTTCTCCCTCAAGCCTCTGAAGGACTACTTCTGGCAAGAAGTTGCCCTTCGTCGTGTGGGAGGCAATGGCAAAGCCTCCGTCAACAAGTTGGATGCTGTCTATCCATGAAGGAGTATCCGCCATGGATCCTACATTGATCTTGTGGACCCGAACGTGCCACCCTGGGAAGTGTTCCATGACAGGCACCAAGGTCGTCTCGATCCACAAGTCAAGATATTTCCAAGGCTTCCAGGTACTGACCAGAGATTGTATCTCAAAGGACACACCGTCTCTGTTGACGATCGATGTGGTCTCGAGACGCACATCAGTGGGCTCCCACCGAACCTTCCAGCTGTCGCCATCGTCGTTGCTAGCGCAAAGTGTGCTGTCAGGGGCTAGCTGCGTAAACATGTTCCCCGTGGGCACGCTGAATACAAAGGCAGAAGAGTAGGCAAACTTGCCATACTTGGCCTCCCTTGCTTTGAACGTCTTGGTTGTCATCTGCCCCGAAGACAAGAACAAGTGGTGTTCAGGGGTGCTACAGAGGATCTGCCTAGGGGGCCAAACCACTTCGATACGGTTCAAACCCTCATGATTCGATGTACTGTTGCTTTCCCACTGTGCGCCGTCAAGTGGATGAGGTAGTTCCTCGCTTGTCCAGAAGGGGTCGTCTTCGTCGAGTCCAAGTACTATGAAACTTTTCAGACACCAGTACACCGACTGCGGCGAGTTGTAGTCTTCGCTCAGGTACATGTTAGGATATGCGAAGCCGATGCTTAGCGTCCCGTCTGTGTTGAAAATATCAGGTTGTTTTGCCCACCAGCGGAGATGCCGAAGAAGCAAGCCTTTGACAGCTCCGACATTGTTAACTGGAGCTGGCAAACTGACACCAGCGGTTGCCGCAGCGGCCCAAAAAGCCGCAAAGGCGAATCTGTACGTTAGGCTTCGGCCGAAAGGTATCGCAGCTCCTATGAATAGTCAGTCTAGAGTACCTTATTGAACCAAGGAGCCTACCATTGGTATCGAAATATCTCCAATAAGTCGACGCGAACTCCTTTGCCTGCTGTTTGTACCTCTCTACCCTCTGTTCATCACCCACAGCAAACCTGACATACAAGACTTGGGCAAACTGAATGGCGAAGCTGCCAGAGTAGTAGTCGGCTTGCTTTCTTTCCTCTCCCCAAAGCCCATCGCTAGACCAACCCTCACCAAGGTAGAACGAATCTAGCAACTCGAAGTCTTCCTCCATGAAGTGACGCACACTTTCCATTTGAACGCCAAGAGTCTTGACAAGAGCAAGGTTGACAAAGATACGGAACCAGCGCCAATTGTTCTGCGGCATTTTCTTGCCGTTAATTTGGCCTAACCAAGTCCGCAATCTCCCCCTGGCCTTTTCGTCGCATGATACCAAGAACGCGTCGGGGGAGGTCAAGAGTGTAAATGCGATGGACTCCATCTCCACCATCCGTTGATCAATATCTCCCACGTCGCCCCAGTACTCCTCAGATTCAGGATCGGTGCCTGTCACGAGTCCCGTCATCCAAGAGCTGAGATCCACGCCATGGTTAGCGTCGAAGCTGGGTTCGCGGAGGAGGCTAGCAACCACCCAAAGCGGGCGGGCGAATCCCTCCAACTGGGCCGAGACCTCGTCGAAGCCGGCAGCAGTGTTTGTCGCGAGCTTGATTCGTGCTTTCTCAGTTGACTTGTACAACTCCAATGGGCCGAGCAGGGCGGCAGCTGCCCGCACGAGGTCGCCGCGCGTGAGGAACTGGTTGTCCGAGAAACCGGCCAACGATGGCATTTTGAAATATGTCTTCTGCAGATTGAGGAGAAAAAGTGACGGCAAATCAAGAAAATGAGAAATGTGTTCAATGCCGACTGTTATGATTGCAGCCCATTGACGCGACCTTCTGGTCAAGTGAGGAGTCAACGGAAGAACTCGCCCGGTCTTCGGGCAAAGTGGGTAACCATCAAATGGCTGATTCCCCAATGCTGTGCGACTACTACATCCCGAGCAATCTTGGCGTCAACTACTAACCGGATCAATCGCAAGAAGGCAAACACCATTTGATAGAGCAACAGTACGGTACAATGACTCAATTACTTGGTCATCTATGATTATGAGACTGCCCAATTTTCATGCGTCCGGGCGGCTACACTTTCTAATATTTAGTGACTTTACTACCTAGTAGGGATAACGACGATAGAAGACGACGATAGAAGACGACTATAGAAGACGACGATAGAAGACGACAATGGACGACGATAATGGACGAGGACTTTGGACGATGATAACAAGAACGATAACAGCGACTACGACAAAAACAATGATAGCGAGCAAGCAATTATTACGGTCTGATCCTTCTGGTGTCACCAGTGGCCTATGCTACCTACGGTTATCTTCTTACTGCTGTCCTTACTCGTACCCACCGTGCTACATAATCTTCCAATTCCCGAGGTGTGCCTAATCCATGTATTCACCTGGTTCTTCGTCCTGCCCGTCCCACCAACCATTGTGTACACGGTCCATGTGATCGTAGATGTCGGCGAGTCCTACGTTCTCTCCACAGAAGAAGCACCAGTGGGCACCACAGGTGCAGGCAATGTGGTCGCATCCACCCATTTTCTCTGTTAGAGTGCCGCAACCAGGGCAGTTTCTGAGCTGCAGCTTCGTGCCCTTCATCTCCTTGCACTCATCGCAACACCAGTTGAACACTTCTTGGGGAGCCCCCGCCGCGCACACCCTCTCGACGAAGCGACGAGCGAGGCCACAGTCATCGCACCAAGCATAGATCCACGATCCGGATTCTTCCACGGCAGTGCCCAGGTTTCCGAGCTGAGACAGACCCAAGGCGGATACTGTTTTGCGGGTCGGCTGGCGGCGACAGAAAGGGCACGATAGAGCGGCGATGTTGATAATCCTGCCCCGGGAGTTGAGACCATACCAGTCTTGCAAGCATCCACTGCAGATGGTCTGATGGCAGCCTGAGCGGCCGCATGCCTGACGCAAATCGGTCTTTCGAATGTTGGAGAAGCATAAACTGCACTCGCCGGCCTCCGTTTTCCGAGACTCGACCCAGGAACGAAGCGAGTCGAACACCTCCGCTTGGTTGTGCACCACCTTGCCACGAATGGTCAGGTGAGTAGACTGTCCAGCTTCAGCTGGAAGAACCTTTACATTGGCTGCTAAAGACTGTCGGTCCGAGACTGCTGAGATGGTGTGGAAGAGAGATCGGCCGTTGAAAGGGTCTTTGATGGCACCGTTTTCGTTGCGAAGAAGCCATGATGTGCCGTTTTCTCCGCTCAAGCTTTTGGCAGAAGTTTCGTAGTCAATCATAGTGACCCTGTTCGTTACACAGCCAGGACATTTGAAGCTGGCGGCATCGAAGTCAGAAGGTTGGTACGCCTTTGGCCAGATAATGCGGTTAAGGCACTGCGAGCACTCAACCCAGGGGGCATTTGCCGAGCTACTGTGTCGGCAGTAGTAGCACTTGGGACGCACGTTCAGAGAGTCTGGGTTGTAGACAACGTACTGGGCACGACAGGTCGGCGTGAAACACTCGACCCATGTGCCCTCCGTCTTCTCGTTATCATCAGCACGCACGTTCGTCTCCCTTCTTAGCTTTTCATCCTCAAAGGGCTGGCAGATATTGCAGTTGCACATCTGAGGACAGAGACCGCAGACACCGTCGCGCCCCATGATTGTGACTGAGCGAGGGAAGCTGCAGCTTTTGCAGATCACGACAGGCCCAAGCGCGACTTTGGATTTCTCCGGATGCCAACCAAGCTTGGCCTGGAGCGTGGTATTGAGGTTGAGCTCAAGTAGCTTGTAGTCGACTAGCGTCTTGAACAGCTGACGATCTCCCTCCGACAAGATGCAGGCGTCGTGGCTGTGGCGATGGGTGACGCCTTCTGTGACTCGCTTCTCGTAGTCTCTGTCGGCGTCGAGAAGCAATGAAAGGCAGCTTGCGTTCCAAGTTTCCGGTATGTCCAGGTTGTTCCACTTCTTGCTGAAGAATAGGAGTTCCTGGTCGGCAGCTTCTGTAAGGGGTTTCAAGCCCATACGCAGAGACAGTGCAGCTAGAAGCGCTCCGGGACGGGCTGCCAGCATTGTTCCAGGAAGAATAAGATGAAGGAGTATTCTCCAGAACTTGCGCTGGTATTTCGCATCCGCAAGTGCCATCGGAATCCGAATGACCTCCTCGTTACCTTTCATGTGGGCAGGCAGGGTGTTCTCAGACTGGACATAGGTAAGTCGTGTGAGCACTCGACCGAGCCTGCGGAGAATGCGAGAGTCGCAGGAACGACCAATCTCCATCAGCTCGTCACGCGTGAAACCAGCGACACCTTGCTTGCCGGAGGCTTTGGCCTTGTCGTCTTCGCCGTTGCCCTCGTTTGTAAAAAATACGGTCGGGTCCAAGAATACGCAGGGGTATCTCTCCTCGTTGGGGACCTGGCTGACGATGTCGAGGATCTCTGCGGCATAATCGTACGACTCTTCTAACCAAGTCTTCATCCGACTCTTCTTCTCTGGCTCGGAGATGCGATCAACTGCATAACCGAAGGACTGAATGAGGCCATCTCGGGCTGGGTTTTCGCGGTCATTGCAGACAGTACGCCAAAGAGTCCCGAAGATGGGGTTCACGGCAATGGCAGCAACATCTGCATCGATGAGCGACTTGAGCTGGTCGACAACGAATCGCTGGTAATTTGTATCGACCATGTATCTCTTCGAGAAATCCATGACTGGGGTCTTCCTAGCATCGACTACAGTATGCAACTCGTTTAGAGTAGGGTCGCGGGACTCGATGTTCTCCTCAACAACATACTCCGCAGTTGTTGATTGGTTTACTGGGAAGTATTTGCCGGTCGTGTCTCCGTCACCTTCATGGGTACTGTTCTGGATCGCTGCTGCATCTCGGTACTGCAGCAGTTTGGCAAACTTTCGCTCTCCGGAAGCAGAAGTTCCCAGCTTTCCGACACCCATCCATGACAGTAGGATACCGATTGTCAGTTGGGAAATGGCATCAGCAGTGGTGACACTCGCATCCCCGATATCCAGCTTGAAACAGACGCCACCCGTCAGCTGGGATAGGAACAGGAACGGAGACAGGGTGTCAGCGATGGCCCCCTGTATAATAGAGAAGACCTTGGCCTTCTTCTCGCCCTGGAGAGCCTTGGCTCCGGAGACCCAATCGGTGAAAAGGTTTCCGACGCCGTTGAATGAGTCCGCCTTGGAAAGGTTCTTGATTTCAGTGTCTCTGTTTCTGCTGGCGATGCCGAGAGTATGGGGCGGAGCGTCTGCGTAGAGGACAATGATTGTGGTAGCTTCGGGTCTCATGACGCTATAGGCGCGCGCGAGACCGGTCTTCGCAGCCTCGGGCCAGTCGATGCTGTGGTGTCCCGAGTCGGTGCGGATGCTCTTGGCCATGGTGAGGAGCTTCGACTGTGTAATAGTATCTTCGCCATCGCCGTACCAGCCGGACCACTCGGTAACCATATCGGCCGAGTAGTCACGATATGCCATGACGCCAATGCGAGAGAAGCAGTCTGTTAGGGCGGATACCCGAAGAATCTCGGGCAAAGACTGATTGAGGGCCCGAAGGTAGCTACTCATGGACGCAGTGGCGTCCGTCAGGACGAGGAGATCAAAGACCTCGTCCGAAGCCATATTGGGCGGCAAGTGATGTTTTCCACGCCGTATTAGTCAATCGGCTGCTTTGGAAGAGGAGGAGGAGGAGGTTGACCGCGATGAAGGAAGAGTGGCAGGAAATGAGAAGAGAAGACAAGAAACCTCATCATATTTATGTCTCATGGTCGTAGGGAATGGAAAGGTGAGGCCAATCGCCGAGTTTGACTCACGCCGCCGTCAGCCACTCGTGTAGATAACCCGTTTACGGTACCCGTTGGAAGGGCCTCTGCGGTGGCCGTTGATGCGTCACTCGCCGGCATCCATCGGAGGGAGTCTCGTACCAACTGAACTTTGAGTCATTGTACTTGGTTTTCAGGGTCAACAGTCCATCTCAATTTTTCGATCTTGTTGTGTACCCGACTTGCACCAGGGCTTGCTGCCTCATGTCGGTTGACAGGGGAGCCGGTTGGGGAGATGCAACTGGGAAATCTGTTCAGGGAGGGAACCCCCCAGGGTACTTGACCTGGCATGGCCTATTCTGGCCGCCTGGTGCTAATTAAGCGCCGTCCAGGCCACTGTTGGCCTGGTGTTGGCGGGCTGCACCGCCCTCAAAGATGGCGCGCGCCTAATTCCGTATGCGCGTTCCTACGTACTTAGTTAATTACCCCTTTTAAACATGGATAGTAATAGAAATATTCGTGCGGAGTAGTGGCATCGATACTAATAGCGATAACGACTAACAGTGATGACGAACGACGACGACGAACGGCAACAACGAACGGCGACAACGAACGGCGACAACGAACGGCGACAACGAACGGCGACAACGAACGGCGACGACGAACGACGATATATAACGACGATGACTAACAATAGCAACTAGCGAGGAAGACGACAATGAAGATAATGACAATAACAATAACAATAATAGCAGCGACAACGATATCAAACTACACAGTATCACTTTAGGAAAAAGTGTTAAAATAGTAATAGTTATAGAGTTTTTGATTTTTTTACTCTGAATTATAACTTTATAAATATATTAATATTTAATATGAATTTGTATCTTATATCTACTATTTAGTTTATGTTATGTTCCGTTAGATTTATGTATGCAACTTAGTAGACATAAGATTCTTATTATAAAACCTCTCACTATTTAAGATAAGTAACACTCTGAAGCTGCTTATGCCACTCGCAGGTATATCTGCTTCACGTCTACTGCAGTCTGCAAAAGCAGCTAGACCGCAAGCAGTCTATTGTCTATCTTTGGGGGCTTGGGAATTACACTACCAACTACATATGTATGTAATTAGCCGACGTGCAAGAAGAGACGTAGGTACAGTGGCTCAGAAGTGGTCTTGAAACTCTCCTTACTGCGGACTGCTGTAGTGATCTCCCAGATTTGGTACCAGACAATGTCAAATACATCCTTATTGCTCCTCGATAATCCCATGCACGTAACAATCCCCAACAAGCAGGTAATCCTTCTTCCTCCACGGCCGGAGACAGGAAGGCATCTTCCCGCCGTACAAGACACAGATGACATCGCCAGCTTCCATCACTCTCGGGCCGAGGACGTAGCATCCATCCCGGGCCCTCGCAAATTTCCGATTGCACGACGTGCCGTTGACCGCGCGCGCTCACTTGACTGCGTCTGATCTGCCCGTCCATTCCTGCAGCTTATCATTATTACTATCAGACACCGCGTAGGAAGAGGAATCTACGCCGGCTGCTTGGGTCAGATAATAAACCCCGTGTGCAAACCACTGCTGCGTTGGGACCGACTCGTGCGGATGATTGTTGTCTTGCCAGGCGGTGGCGACGCAAGTGTTACTGAGCGTCTGGATGTAGGCCAAAAGAGCAACAACGCCAGATCCAGGAAGCGTCCGATGATGACCGCGTCAAGATGGAGCTGATGGACAAAACTAGCTCAGCACCTGGAATGACCTTTTCCGTTTATAAGGCTACACACATTGTGGTACGGCATAAGAGCCGTGACTTCGATCAAATTGCAGCCGACAACCCCGATGTTGATGTGGAGATCCAGATACTAGGCAGCATTATCATGCATGCTTGGTCTGATATAGGGCATGGCATCCTATATAGGCCGTCTGCTACTGGTGAGACCTCTGTGGTTCGTATGCGGAATCGTCATGACGGGCGAAGTAGCTCTGGGGCAACTCACGTCCGTGGCCGCTGCCGAAGCCACGCGGTAGGTGGACGACCGCAAACAGAAGGCAGCTACCCACGACTTTCTTGGACCTTGGTTCTATTAGTGCTGTAAAGAACAGAAGCGGTGCCGTCGCACAGCATGGGTACATGGTCGAGAAGTATGCCTTGGTTACACGATGTTCTCGAGGCCAGAATCAAAACATCTATGCTTCTGAAAGACCTGAAAGCAGAGTCGAAGGCCAAAGAACCCCTGCCAATCAAGATCATGTAGCATCTAGGCAACAAATGGCCTTTGCAAAACCAGTATTTCCCTCAGGCAAACTACACCACAGTCTGGAACGCGCGTTATTGGGTCACACACCTTTTAAACACACTTAATCTGGCATTGTACGTGGGCCTGGATCCATTCCCTTCCATATGGCATCATGCCATCAAAGGGTCGGGGTTTCTAACCAAGCGCCCGCACATGGCCGAATTATTTAGGCTCTTGCACCCTACCAAGCCACTACGCCTAAGCGGCCGTCAGGATTTCATGGTTGACTTTTGAAAAGCGATTCTAGAGCTCTGATGGTTGCTACGAACAAAAGTTTAGCATGCCGGTGGAGTACTTCGAATCATTTGAGTACTTGAGACTTGAGAACATTTTAATGACCAAGGGTAAATGCGGCGATAGTGAGATGAGGCGGATTGTTGCAGCAATCAGCTGAGTGGCGTTAAATGCTGAGCACCGCAATACGGGACGGGATGTGCAAGCCTGCAGATACGCAGGTACTAATCAGGAATGTGCTATTGACTGCGCAACTTTGGCATAGTCTGCAGAACGGCGATTCTGCCGAATCTTGAGTAAGCTTAGGGTATGATTGAAAAGCACAGTTGACTGGGCCTCGTCCATTCATTTTGCATTCGGACAAATGCATGGCGAGAACTGGTCTGCCTGGACGAATGATGCCTCATTTTGAGCTGAAGGCGACTAGGGGGCCTGGCAGCTGGCCTTCGGAGCTGAATGTCTGGAAAATCACTCGGCCAATTAAGGCCAACCTCAGAAGCATGGGTAATGGACGGGTGACCAGGTCAAAAAAACGCTATCAGCACTAAGATGCAGCCTGATTCTTAGCTTTAGGCGCTGCTGGGCTGATCTGAAAATATCTCAACATTGATTCTCCTTTGACGTTTAAAGCAGAACTGTAGCCTCCACTGCTTCGCTGCCGTGGGACTGTCGTGTAACGTTTTACAGCACCTTATTCCACCATGGCCGTGGTCGTTGCTAACGCCAAGGTTGCCGTTGTCGCAGCGACTCCTGTTGATCAGAGTGATGATGAGGTTACACAGATCTGGCAGGAGGTGCAGGCGATGGTGATACGGATGGCGGGAGGGGATCCCAACAAGATTGACAAACAACTCGACATCGACGGAGTCCTACGACATCTGGAGCAAGTGCAAGCCAAAGATCAGAAGGCTGCAGAGAAGCACGCTGCTGTCAAGGACACCTTCAGCAAGACACTTCAAGTTATTTCAAAGGTTGGCGGATTAGTTGCTGACGGCGTTTCCAATGTAAGATTGCCTCTGCCACCTACTGCTGAGATGACTATTAAACATATCATAGGCTTTCGGTCCCGCGAATCAGTGCTTCAACGCGCTGAACTTTGTTATCGTGGCATGGCAATCGTACTCGGAGGCGTTTGAAAGTCTTGCAGCACTCCTCGAAAAATGCGCCGAGTTCTTTGAGCGATTTACCTACTACACGAACAGAGATGCGTCTCTCAGGAAAGTCATCTGTTGCCAATTCAGATTATTCATCAGAGTATGCGACAAGTCACTTCAACTCGGGAAGAAAAGGCACAAGATCAAAATGTTCTTCAGTCGCATGTTCCTGGATGATGATGATATCAAAGGGCTGCTGAGCGAGATGGAAAATCTCAACGCACGTGAACACGGTCTTGTATCTGCCCAAACATTCAAGATCAGTCAAGACGCCGCAAAAGCCAGCCGAGAGGCTGCCAAGACATCGAAGGATAGTTCAATGAAGCTCGACACGCTGGTTGAACAGAACACTGCCAACAAGAAGGAGAAAACGGAGCAGAAGTTCAAGGACAAAGTGGAAAAAGCTTTCTTCGGGAAGAATTCCAAAGAGGTCCTTGACAGAGGAGAAGACCTACGCAAATATGGCGGGAGCCGAATCGATGGCACGGGAAAGTGGCTTGACACCGACCCTCTATTCACAGCTTGGATGACTGGCGATGATACTACCGATCCGATCTTGGGTATCGAGGGCCCCAAAGGCTCAGGAAAGACACTCGTGGTCACACACGTTATCGATCGGCTCCAAAAGCAGAGGACAGTAGGTGGCTCCGGCACGAGATCAGCTGTAGCGCACTACTTCCTGGAAGCAGATGCCAAGGAGGATGCCACAGCAGGGTTCAGAAGGAAGCATGTGATTGCATGTCGTGCTTCGAAGAGCCTATTGTGGCAGCTTGCACAGGAGGAAACGCCGTTTCTCAAATCGATTGCTGGTCTCTGTGACGTCGACAAAGTTGACCTAGATGACCCGGTTTCCATTTGGAGACAATTTCTTCTCGAGAACGAAGATCGGAGCACTATCGAGAGCACATTCTTCATTGTTTTGGATGGACTTGGAGAGAACTTGGACGCTCTCACCAATCTGTTCAAGATGCTCTCTGATGATCAAGCACGTCTTCGCACCAGAGTGTTGATAACTGGCACCTCGTCAACGTTTGAGCAACTCGAAAAAGAAGACAGTATTCGGATGAAAAAGCTTCGACTTGAGACGCGCAATTCTGAGGACATCAAAGTTTACATAGAGGCTCGGATGAATCATATGGAGATCCTTAGCGACACAGCGCGACCGGGTGTATCCGACGTAAGGAAGCGAGTTCTGGAGGCACTCGAGAACTCCACCAATGGTGACTACACGATTGCAATTACAGCTTTGGACAACATTGAACGCGTTGATTCACTCGAAGAGGTGGAAGATTGTTTGGAAAAGGCTGGCGGAGCAAGATCTAATCAAGTGCTAGAGGACATTCAGAGGTTCAATCAGATCATGAAACCCAAGGAGATCGACGAGATCAATGAGATCATCCTTTGGGTAAAATGGGGACTTCGTTGGATGACATCAAGCCAGATTGAGGCCGCTCTGGAGCTCAAGGCCGACCGCGACACAGATGGGCGCCAAACCTCTCTTCGATCCCTGCAATCCAAGATTGAAAAGAAGTATAACGAGCTGTTCTATGCTGATAGCGAAGGGTTGATCGACTTCAAAAGACCTGAGATGTGGGACAACATCCCTCAACACAATAATGCCGATCCAATCTTACCAGAAGAACTCAACATCGTCCAACACTATCTCTCGACGGTTTGCCCTAAGAATGTCTATGACAAATTTGGCTTCAAGGAGTTCTTTGAAAGAAGAATAGAACGAAAGGAAAACTCGATCTGTCAGGATCCAGACAATGCTGAACTCAAGCTCGCTCTAAGATGTCTTCGCTGCCTCATTGAAGAACAGACGGACAAGAGCAAGCTTCTCCGTTCATACGCAGCTGAATGTCTTTATCAACACTTGGATAGCACCAATTTGTCTCTTGCCGATCGCAAGCTGAAGGCAGAGGCTGGGAATTTGCTAGTCCGGCTTTTGACCGAAGAAGCTGCAATTGATGCCCTTCTCTCCCGGGACTATGGCAAAGATTGGGAGATCGAAAGCGCTGTCGATACGAAAGCCCTGCCAAGCAACTGGGAGCCCTGGGTTTTCTCTGACCTAGGCAACAGCCTTTTGAGAAAATGGTCCCAAGACTCCTCGGTCTTGGAGCATCTCGATAACAAGATGGTACTGGACAATATTATCAACCGCGAGAAGGGTGAGCAGTATTGGTATGAAAAGGCGGCTACAATCGCAGCGAGAAGGCTTCTCAAACCGGAAGATCGCGGACGAGAGTTGATAGATGCTTTTACTCTGCTCTACGCACTTATCAAGCGAGTGAGTGCAGATCTTTCAACTAAGCCGGAATTTTGGAGACACAGACATGTTAACCAAGTTTATAGCTGAACCACAAGAATGAAGGCGAACAGAACGAATTCAAAGTTGACGAGAATCAACTTTGGTATCCCACCATGGAACATTTCAGCGCCGTCGAAACATGGGCACGGAAAAGTTTGGGTTTCGCAGAAGACGATGCTATTTGGCAAACCCAAATGGTAAAGCTTATTCACTACCTAGAGAATGGCAAGACCATTTTCAAGAAAGATGTTGTGGCCAGAGCAAGACGAGCCATTCAACTCCATTCGGATGATTGGATGTCCTCCTTCTACTTGGCTCGAATCCTTGACTTGCCAGAGGAGGCTTCCGAAAGCATTGAAATCCTTGAAAGAGTCAAGGAGCAGTTGAAGGACCTCAAAGATGACCCCACATGGAGATCTCACGCCTTGAACCTGAAAACTTACTCCGAAATCACGGAGACTTTGGGTGACCGCTATTGGGATATGACTGGCGATGAAAACACTAAAAAGGCGGTCTCCTTGCATTTCTTGGCCATTGAAGAACCTCATTCTATGACTTCCTTCGAGGCTGACTACATCTTGTGGAAGTTTAGCAAAAGGGGCCTCTGGACTGAAATCGTCGACTATTGCGAGAGATTGCTAAAGATTCCACAAGATGAGGTCACAATTGGTGCCAAAGTGGCCTTTCTTGGAACCAAACGGCAGCAAACTTTGTTTTGGGACACACTCATGCGAGCATGCGATGAGACAGACCGCTGGAACGTTCTCCAGTTGATGTGGGAGGGTGGTGACAAAAGAGCTAAGAGCATGCCCTACCAGTCCTACTGGAAAGCCAAGATGAATTCGTGGTACAGGATCTGCTCGGCTCAACGGCCTGGCTATAAGAGTGCGGGTATCGGGGTGATTGAGGGAATGCTGGCAGAAGACTGGGTCAGGGAGTTCGATGCGGATGTCCTCAACGAACTGACCCAATTCATCTTGCCCATCTACACCAGAAGAGCTTTCAAAGCAGACTCGACGCCTGAGGCGAGAAACGCTGCGCTAAAGAAGGCGATGGACTTGAACGATATCTTTAAGAAAGGTCAAAATCGCCACCTCAACTCGACTTTGAAGTTCGCACGACTTTTCCACCTCAAAGGCGACGAGACGTCGGCCAAGAGGCTGCTGAGAGACACAGTTGCACAGATGCTGGAGATGTTGTCGGACGACGACATTGAGAACGACTGGAGCTCTTTCTACGTTCTCGCTCAAGTTTTCACCGCCACTGAGGAGACGGCCAACATGATAGCGTGCTGGGAAATGATGGCAGTATCAAAAATTGCCGAAGTCGCAGAATACGAACGGAAGTTGGCTCTCTGGCACAAGGCCAACGACAACTCTGATGGGGCTCTCGTTGAGGGCGAGCCAGTTTCTGCCGAAGGACACGGGGCCGGTATCGAGAAGGCGCCCGGCGAAAACACTTCAGTGGAGGAGTTCGTAACAATCCAGGAGGATAGAAACGAGGAGCCCTCCACAAATACGCAGCCAGCTTCTCAAAACGAAACTGTAAATGTCAATGGAGATGGGCTTCCTGATAACGTCCAAACAGATGCTGTACAGGGGCAGTCCGCGAATGGAGACTCGGGAGAAGCGTCTCCCACCAAACCCGAAGAGCCTAGTCGCTCCATCGGCATGTGCCTCGGGTATTGTGACGTCACGGTGGAAGTCCCGAATAGAATATGGGTTTGCGTGGACTGTGTTGGCGACGTTTGGCTGCATGAAGATTGCTATATCAATGCTGGTGCGAGGGCAGCTAGGTATCTCACCTGCAGCAAGGACCATACTTTCATTCAGCTACCCTCCTGCGACGAAGCTACGATCAGGGCCATTACTCCTGGCTTCATCAGGGTTGATGGAAAGCATGTCAAGATGGACGAATGGAAGGCGGAGGTGAAGGCCAACTATGTTGATTGTGTGGATGCCGAAACACCTGAGGGGTCGGAGGTTGCGGAATAGTTGGGCTTTTTTTTTTTAACTTTGCATGCTATTCCTCATCAGCTCGGCATCAAGAAACACGCAATGATGTCCAAGCTTCAACATAAAATTTGTACACATTAAGTATTCATTAGATGCGCTCATGAGGATATATACGCTAATTACATGAGATTATCATTGCGTCTGGCGTTTAGCAGACACCGGAGGGGATGGTGAAGCCGTCACGGCGGCTGGAAGAGCTGTAGACAGCGTTGGATCCCAGACCACGCTTAGCAAAGGCGGTCCAGAGCTCGCACTGGTTGGCACCACCGGTGAGAGCAGTGTCGGCGTCGAGAATGGCGTCACGAGCCTGGATGAAGTTGGGAGAGCAGGGTTGCCTGAGGAATATGTTAGCTTTGTTGTGAGAAGGAAAGGGGATGGAACTTACAGAGCCATGCCGTCAATGACGAGCTTGAGAGTGAGGTACTTTCCGTCGGTGGGAACACCGTTGTTGAACTCGGGGCGGGGGCCATCGTTCTTGCCGTACTTGTCGATGAGGTTCCAGAGAACCTCGTAGAGGATAGTAGCCCAGGTCTCACCAATGCGGTGGACAGCGGTGACACCGTTAATGGTAGAGTAAGTGTTGGGGGTGGTAGTCATGGAGGTGGAGTAAAGGACGCTACGGATACCGGCAGGGTTGTTGTAGACCCAGGCGCCCATGGGGTAGTCGGTGTCACGGGTGTCGGTGGGCTTGAGGCGGATGGCGGTAGCGAAGAAGTCACCCCAACCCTCACCCATACCACCGGACTCAACAGCGTTCAAGCAGTTGGAGTTGGCAGGGCCACCAGTCAGACGAGTGGACAGACCGTGAGTGTACTCGTGGATGACGACACCGGCCTCGAAGCTGCAGTCGCGGCGAGGAGTAGACTGAGTCCACAGGTACATTCTCATGCGGCCGGGGGAGCCATCGGGAGGAGTGGCGAAGTTGGCGTTGTTGGTACCAGAGCCATCCTGAGCGTTCAGGATGACGAAGTCGTTGCCAGCACCGCCCTGGCCGTTGTTGTTGATCTCGAAGTTACCAGCCGCCTCGTTGAAGCCGAGCTCGTAGAGCAGGTCGTGGTAGTGGTTGGCGGTGTAGAACAGCTGGGTGATGGAGGCATCGATGTAAGCAGAAGGAGTGCTCATGCTGGTGGTGTACTCGTAGTCGAAGTTGAGGGACGAGCTGGTAGGGCGGTAGTTGTTCAGGTAAGTGCTGCCACCGCTGGGGTTGGACTGAGCAATACCGTTGTTGCCACGGGTGGTGGTGTAGTTGGAACCAGGGCCGTCGCTGTGCCAGGTGAACTCAGAAGCGGCAATGTCCCAAGGGTCAGAGACGAGGACGCGGTCACCCTCAGTGGGGTCGTTGACTCCCCAGGGGTAGACGCGGTAGTTGGCCAGGTCGGAGACATAGTCAACGACACCGTGAACCTCACCACCAGACTCGGCATCGACGTAGGTAAGAAGCCAGTTGTCGGTGATGTCGGTCTCGACACGCCAGGTGAGGGCAAGGGAGCCGTCGCCCTTGACAAGGTAGACGAGCTTGGCCTCGGGGTCAGAGACGGCACCGGAGGTACCCTTGATGGTGTAGATCTCCTTGCCCTCCTTCGCCTCGGCAGAAGCGTCAGCGGACTCGACGGGAAGCTGGAGGACATCCTTGGCGCCGTTGAGAGCGGCGACGGGGTCCTTGAAGTCGCGCTTGTTGAGGGGGCTGGCCTCAGGGATCTCTCCGGAGAAGAAGTTGTTACCGAAAGAGAAAACCTTTCCATCCTTGCCGATCTATCATGATGTTAGTCTATCTGGTCATTCATCGCAAAACAGAAGTTGACTTACGTTGACGTTGAAGTCAGCATTATCAATGTCGAGACCGTGAGCAGTCTGCTTGAAGTTGACGTGGGCAATGCCGTTGGTTCCAACATAGTGGTCACCGACAACGCGGAACTCCGCGTTGGGGGCGAGCTTCTGAACAAGCTCAGTGGCCGTGTCAACATAGCTCTCACGCTTGAGGAGCGCGATAGGCGGGTTCGATTCCGTCAGCGTGGCGTTGGTGTAAGAACCAAGCTGGGGCAGACGGAAAGCCTCGATGTCGACGCCACGGCGGGCGAGGGCCGACTTATGGCCGTGAGCAGGGTGGGCGTAGGCCGGAGCCAAGAGGCCGAGCAGGGCCAAAGACTTCATGGATCGGTACATGGCGGCGACGACGAGGAACGAACGAGGTGGAAAGAGGGGAATGGGGGCTGGGGACTTGAGAATGCCTGCTGAGCTCCTGAAGAACATGAAAATGAGGCGACCGCCATGATGTTTAAATACGCCAATGCCTTTGAGGTCTCGAGACTTCAGTTCACGAGCTCTTCAGCTTTGCAGCCAAAAGAGCTTCCTTTTCGGTTCAACATGCCGCCTGGAACCCCGGTCGCAGCAAGCCCACAGTCAAGAAGCCTGACCAGGGACGATATGGGGTTCCCGCAATTCCCTTGGTCGTGCGGATGAACCCGTCCATCATGAATGGGGCATCATTTGGGAAGTTGTTGTCGATATCGCGGTCATGATTCTGCACGACGAGCACGATTGGATGTGCTTGCGTGATCCGCCAATGCCAAAGCTCGCGTCTATCGGCTTCGATACGAGAGAGAAGAGGGAAGGTAGTTTGCTTGCACCCTTGAGATTAAGCGGTGGGAGGGTTGCATTAATGCTTCGTTTGCGCTGTTGGCGTCTTGGCGACGGCTTGGTTGGCATTGGTGTCTTGGCGATATGGGGGTTTTCGGTAGTCTGCAGCAACATGCTCCGAGTTCTCTAGGCAAGAATGTCCCAGGGATTTACGATTGCCTCAAAGAGGACATTGGTTCTGGAATACTTGAACATTGGATGAACCGTTCGAATAAAGGAAAGGAAAGAATAAGCTTATTTTAGACTCTTGAACGGCTTTGATATTCCGAACAAACTTCTAGGTCGGCTCAAAGAGCGTTGAACTAGTACATAAACTGATTCATGTTATGCAGGACAAGAGCCGTTAGCAAAAGTCGCGTGCCTTGTGCAAGCGATAGGGACCGATCACGTAAAAATAAGCCTGCAAATCATCTCGGAGACAAGACTCCACAGCGCCCCGAGCCCACAGCGGGATCGATACCTTAAACTGCAGTTGGCCAGCGCTGCTGACGGAAGTTCTCCAGGGTCTCGTCGCCTCCGACGAGTCATTGGCGCGAAGCACCGCCTCTGGTGCAACATCTGGCCGGAGCTTGCAATCACGACAGAAATAAGCTTGAGCAGCAGGTCCTGCGAATGTGGACTCTGAACTTTTGCAAGCGCAAAACCAGGGCGTTGCGGTGGGGTTGAGTTGGCTTTCAGCAGGTCGCAATCGATGATGTTGTCATGGCATGTCTTCAACTCGTTGTAATTGACTCAGCTGCCCTCTCTGGTCAGCTCAGCGTTGCAATGCAGGTGTTCGGATACGGGCGAGTAACAGCGCCACGATGCAGGAACGTACTCGCCAAATGGCACAGATGCAGGAGGTCATCCTTCGCTTCTTTGCACTTGCTAGAAAAGGATAGTCATGGTCAGATTATGGCCCCCATAGGCACCAGGGACTTTTTGCCAGCGGCATCGGACGCAGGGGATCACCAACGAAGTCAAGAAATGCCGCGCGCCAACACTCTAGCCCGCTCCTTCCTGATGTTCCCCAGACTCTCACTCAGATTTTCAGATTCAGAAGACGACGGCGGAAGAAAGGAACATTCCGAAGCTCGGGGGAGAAGGTAACGATACATCATACGGGGGCGGGCTGACCCCCTATGCCCGTGTGATGGTCTCGGCAAATGACCTGTGCGCAGTGAGCCGCAGACCTGCCTAATTCGGGATCGCCCACCGGCACGATGGGACGACCTTATCGATCTAGGCTTGATATCCGAATTCGCCATAGCCACTGCCCAGAATCTTTCCAGGCGTGTCCTCCCAGAACACCAACAATGTGGTCAGCCTCGGCTATAGGCTTTTAGACGATGATTAGTCCGATGGCGAAGTCAAGAGTCATCCACCAAGTTCTCTGTTGCAATTTATAATGTTAAAACTACTGACTGAGTGTCTGAGGCTACTCTTCTTTATTACAACCTATAAACAAGGATAACAGCTGGACGACCTACTTAGGCGTTAGGTAGCTAGGATAGGATATTTATACTATAAGATTATAGGAACAATAGGGACTTACTTAATATAAAAGAACTATAGTATAAGTTATATAATAATAAGATAAAGAAATAATTAGTAAAGTATAAGAAGAAGTACTTAGTAATTAGTTAGCTTTACTAATTAATTATAATTACCTTATATACTTAAGTAATTACTTTATAGTAAATAAAGGATATTATTTAGGATTTATATATAGGATAGTTTAAGTTTAGCTTATAATTAAACTTTTATAGTTCTTTAGTAATTAACTTAGTATTTATTTTTAAAATACTTTTAGCTTACTTTTACTATAAATTACTTATTAAGTCTAAAACTAATTACTTTAGTTTCTAAAGATTAATCTACTATAGCTTATAACTTATAACCTAAACTATAACCTTAATATACTATTACTATATATTAATCTTTAGCTTCTATTAGTAAACCTTATTATTAAATAGCTAATTATAATATTTTAATTATTTTTATTTAGTAAGTTAACTATTAATACTTACTAAATAGTATAGATAAGATATCTTCTTATATTTCTATTAAATCTCTTATTTTAAGATCTTTATCCTCTTTATATAACTAGCTTTAAAACTTAATATAAGAGCTTATTAATATTAAAAATTATAATATATTAAACCTTAAGTATAACTCTAATAGAAAAAGCTTTTTTACTAAAAAAGGATATAAAAAACTTTAATATATTATTTAGAAATAAAAAGCTAAAACTAAAAAAATATAAATTTTTATTAATAAGAATAAGTAAGCTATAAATAGCTTAAATAAATAACTTTAGAATACTAAAGAAGTTTATAAAAAACTAAAAAAAGGTATCTATA